GGGACAGCCCTTGCGGGGGGCGCCAGGTTGGAGATGCGGGGGGAAAGCGGCGGGGGTGGGGAGGGGGGGCGAGCCAGGGCTGGAGGAAGAAGGGGGGGGGGAATAGTGGCCGGCCTGGGGGGGGGCTTCCCCCCCTCTCCTAATTAAACCTAATGACATCTGAGGCCCCCCAAGCATTTTTTGTGAAAAGTTTTTTTTTTAATCTGCCTTTTTTTTAGGGAAAAAAAACCTTTATTGAAAATTGAAAGCATTAAAATGCATTAAAAACAATTTCGTGCAAGTTGCAATCCTTTTTGGCAACACTAGCATAATAACCATTTGTTATTCAAATACACTGTTTCGAACATTTCATGTTATTTATCCGTTGATACTAGTTTTCCCCAAGTGTATAATATTCCGAGTCTTCCTTTTTTCTCTTAACTCCAAGGTGGGTTTATCCATCTCTGGGCAATCAAGGAGTTTTGGGATTATTGTGGATTATTTGGACATTGTGCCAGCACTATTCTCACCTTAAAATATATAATCAGGATTCCTTTGCTTGCCGTCCCATAAACCTATTCTATTTTAACCACAACCCTACTTTTCTTTCCTTTTATCTTCCTTCTTCTCTACTTTCGTCTTTCCTCCTCTCCTCTCCCTTTTCCTTCTTCCCTTTCTCCTCCCCTACTCCAAGCATTGAGGACTACACTCCCCATGCGCCCTTACCAGTGGTGCTCGAGCTGGTGGGAGCTGTGGTCCAAAGAGCCAGGCTCCCTCCCTTCCAAGGCATTGAGACCCTCCCCCTAATCCAGGATCTGGCTGGACCCCCATCCGGGCTAAAGTCTGTTCAAAGCATGGGTAGAAGAATGTGAATGTTCTCATCTCACTCTCCCCCCACCCCTCTAAAATGCAATCTCCCCCCCACCAAGGATGTCCCCCTCCTCATCATTTTCCCTGTTTCTCCTCTGGGAAGTTACTCAGCGGCTGCCCCATCCGTTCTTGTAAAGCAGAAAGGGACTTTTAAATCCACTTGTGGGAACTTTAAGTCCTGTGGACTTCGACTCCCAGAATTCCCCAGTGGAAGTCCGCTGGTCTTAAACTTCCCACAAGTGGCTCTCGAGGAATTAGAGCAGTGTTTCTCAACCTTGGCGACTTTAAGTCCTGTGGACTTCNGACAAGGTTGAGATACACTGCCCTAGAAGTTGGGCTGCGGAGCCAGATGGATCTCAACGGACTTGAACACTGGGCCCTGTCTTTAACAAAATGAAATTCAATGTAGAGAAAGGGAATGTCCTATATATACTTAGGCAAGAAAAGCCAACCGTGTAGGTACAGTAGAGCCGAGGTGGCGCAGTGGTTAAATGCAGCACTGCAGGCTACTTCAGCTGACTGCAGTTCAGTGGTTCAAATCTCACCGGCTCAGGGTTGACTCAGCTTTCCATCCTTCCAAGGTGGGTGAAATGAGGACCCAGACTGTGGGGGGGCGATATGCTGACTCTGTAAACCGCTTAGAGGGGGCTGAAAGCCCTATGAAGCGGTATATAAGTCTAACTGCTATTGCTATTGCTACAGACTAGGTAAAACATGGCTTAACTGTGGAAGGGATCGTGGAGTCCTAATGGACAAGGATTTAAATATGAGCCCGCCATGTGCTGCAGCCGCCAGAAAAGCCAACGCAGTCCTGGGCTGCATTAATAAGAGCGATAGAATCGAGATCAAGGGAGGTACTAATACCACTCTATAAAGCCTTAGTAAGGCCACACCTGGAGTACTGCATCCAGTTTTGGTTCCCAGATTCTAAACAAGACGTTGAGACTCTGGAAAGAGGGCAGAGAAGAGCAACCAAGATGCTGAGGGGACTGGAGGCTCAAACATACAACGGAGGGTTGCGGGAACTGGGCATGGCTGGTGTAGGGAAGAGAAGGACCATAATGGGATTCAGCAGGTTCTGACACGTTCTGGTGAGCCAATAGTTGAAATTTTGAGTAGTTCGGAGAACCAGTAAACTGGCAATGCCATCCATCTATTCTCTGCCTTCCGGGTCCCAGCTGATGGGGTGGGAATTTTCCAGTCACCTTCCCCTGCCAGGCCCACAGAAGCAATAGTAAAAAAAAAAAATTGCATCTCACCACTGAGAAGGACCAGGGGCATTCTCCCGATATTGGACGGGCTGCCCCAAAGAAGAGAGGCGGGTCAGCTTATTTTTCCAAAAGGCAGGAGAAGAACCAAGGGACGGAAACTCATCAAGGAGAGAAGCAGGGATTGAGGAGACATTTCCCAGCAGTGACAATCATCAGTGGGAAGTTCTGGGTTCTCCATTGCTGGATGTTTCTAAGAAGAGATTGGACAAGCATTGCTTGGAAATGGTCCAAACTTGGGAACTTTAAGACTGGTGGACTTCAACTCCCAGAATTCCCCAGCCAGCTATAATTCTGGGAGTTGAAGTCCACCAGTCTTAAAGATCCCAAGTTTGGACACCCCCTGGTTGAAGGTCTGCTTGAGCAGGGGGTTGGCTAGAAGACCTCAGGTCCCTTAAATATGGGCAGCCCTGCTCCAACCTGTTCTCTCATGCTCCTCTGGCAAGCAGCCCCTCCCTTCCTCCGGGGAATCCGGACTACACACACTTCCACCGGACGTCCGGACATCTTCAAGTTGCCAAGGTTGAGAAACACTGTCCTAGACACTAAATTGTTTATACACTTAAAATAGCAGCGCCCCCTAGAGTCGGGAATGACCAGCCCAGATGTGCGAGGGGGGGAACTTTTACCATTTTATATAAACGGGTTGCAATTGACCTGGGGGGGGTTGAGATGGGGGGGTTGCATCCCTGGCAGGGAAGCTAAGCTTGCGGAGACTGCGGGCGGAGAGGATCTGCAGCGGGGCGCCCGGGGGCGCCCGGGCTGCGTGCCTAGCCCTGACCCAGCAAAACAGGGGGCGGGGCGGAGAAGAGACCCGCCCCCTTTTCCAGGGTGGGGGGGGAGGCGCTGCAGCTGGTCGGTGCCCGCAACTGCTCAGTCGCTTTGGAGGATGGCAGCGGTAGCGGCGGCGTTTGCGCTTCTCGGGCTGGTGTTGGTGCTGGCGGCGCCCGCCGCGCTGGCGGCTCCGGGCTGGGCAGTGCCAGCCGATGTGCGCGGGGACTCGGTGCGGGAGGCGGCCCGCTTCGCCCTGGCCGAGGCTTTCCCCGAAGGGCATCCGCGGGGATTGTGGGCGCTGCGCGGAGCCAGGACGCAGGTCAGCCGGCGGGACAGCCCTTGCGGGGGNGGACCCTTCCCACTCTCTCGGTCTTCTGGAAAGCCATTAAAACCTGGCTGTTCCGGCAGGCCTGGGGCTGTTGACCCCCAAATACGGTCCAGCCCCATTTAGAACAGAGTGCATGGTGTGTTGTATATTATACCTATCTTCTTCCTTCTATCTTACTTTTTGTTTTTTGATTATTTTTGTACTGTAAGCCGCCCGGAGTCCTACGGGATTGGGCGGCATATAAATGTTATTAAACTTATAAACTTATAAACCCAGGCCTGCCATGCTCCCAAACTGGTTGGTTTTTTTGCTTCTATGCATACATTTCTTACTTGCTTATAAATCCATAATCATTGTCTGATGACTTCATAAGTAACTATGGATAAGGCCCAACATTGCCAAAGTAACAGAAAATGTATCACAAGAGCATGAAACGTGTTCTACCTTTTCATATTTGCACAGATGGTTTAGCACCCTCATCTCTTTGTACATATTTTTCAACTCTGTTTTAATAAGCACGTCCTTAGTCTATACATCTGTTAGAACTAAACACAGGCCGTTCATTTAAAACATGAAAAAAACACCCAGGAATAATAGCGTCTCATTGAAGTCAGAAGGCAATACCACAAGGGCAGCTTATAGTTCCAATTAGCTGATGTCCTTTGAAAACTTCCCAGAACTTTGTTTTAATCAAATGCTTAAAGAAAATAAAAGAGCTGTGCATGGATTAACGTTATATAACAAACACTAGCAATTTGACGATAGGGATCTGTCTAACTGTGTTTCTTCAGTTTTACTCCTCAGTGTGCTAGATTATAAAAAGCCAATTAAATATGCCAGCATCCTGTTGACCCTGCAGATGTTACTTTGCTGCAATAGCAGAATATTCTTCAGAACAAAGTTTGGGTAGCTGACCATACTGTGATGTTTCATTTCAAGCTGGCCAGAGGTCCCTATGCACCTTCTAGGGCATAAATCAAAAGTTATGGCTACTTCCTAGTGATGTCAACTCTGAAGCAAAAGCCATCTTCTGCTGCCTCATAGTTGCTGTGAACTCCTAGAGGGAGAAAGGAGGGGGAAATAGATAGGCTGGCTAACAGTCAAAACAAAACGTTTTCTTGTGGGAACCAAGGTCATCCCAACAGGTGACAGTTGAAGGCGGAGAGGAGTGACCAAGCAGCTACTTTCATTGGACAATGTGACTGGTGACATCTGGAGGGTGGATATTTGCTCTTTTAATTAGGGAAAAACTGTGGGACCTTTTAGAGTTGGTTTCCATTAGCTGTGCTGATATAATTTGTATTTGTATTTGTATTTATTTGTCTTGTATGCCGCNTCACAGAAGGAAATAGGAACATGTGGCTACTGATTGACCCATCCCCGAGAGGGGAATTTTGCAGGAAACAACAATTTACTGATCCAGCCGTAGAGTAAGATTGGGAGAATTTTCAAGCCTTGTTTCATAGAGATAGTTTTCTGGGCTCCCACCCAAGAGGTTTCTTATCTTCCTCCTTAGTTGTGGCAGACAGCCAAGTCTGCGTCCGTATATATTGTAGAGGCTTATTTCCTCCAGCAGGAAACCTATCATCTTGGTTATAACACAGAGGAGAAATTCCCAGAAATCTCCAGGCATTGCCAACCTCTCCCCCCTAGTAAAAAAAATCTAGACCAAAAACTTCATGCAGTATTTAAAAAAATAGAAAAGGGGGCTGCTGTGTATTGTTTAGCGGACTGCTAAAGTGGCAAAATGGACAGCTAAATTGGCCAGGCCCACCCAGTCGCATGACCGCCAAGCCACTCCCATTTGGTTCGCATGATCATCAAGCCGACAAGCCACTCCCACTGTCACATAACCGCCAAGCCACTCCCATTCGGTTCGCATGACCACCAAGCGGACAAGCCACTCCTACATGGTCACGTGACCGTTAAGCCATGCCCAAAAAATAAGCCATGCCCACAGAACCTGTAGTAAAACATTTTGAAACCCAACACTGTACAGTACATATTATATATATCGCTGGAAAGATTTTCTCTTATAGCAAAAAGAAAAAGCTTTAAAAGTGATTTAGGTAGATTATTCTTCAGTAGAATAAGATCCACAAAATATGCTCTTGGGCATTTATTGATTATAGTTTTTAATTATTAAAACTTTTTTGGCCTCTTTTCTCCTGCCACTCTAAGCTCCTAGGATGGCTTTAAAAGCCCATCTCTGTCTTCTCCTTACCTGTAGAAGCCATTCTTTGCAGGCTAGACTGGATGTCAAATCCTTAATTTTCTGCTCTTGTCTCTGCAGCCTCAGAAATGTTTCCTTTTCTAAAGTACAACATTGCATACTCTTGTTTTGTAGATTTGTTTTTAAGCGCTGAAGAGTAGCAAAGAATTCCTGAAAGAAACAAGTCCCATTAGTTTTGAAGCAAATTAGGAAAAGAAAGGCTTTCACGTGACAAATAACAGAAAAAAATGAGTTATATTAGAGAATGATACATTCAATTATAACCCAAGATAAGACAGAAATACTTAAATCAAAATAAGGAAGAAACAGAAAATCGTACTGTGTTTCCCCGAAAATAAGACAGGGTGTTATTTTCTTTTGACCCATGAAATAAGCACTTGGCCTTATTCTTAGGGAATTCTTATTATTTTTGAGGTGCAGGAGGAGGTGAGCCTGGGTAACCTCATGGCTGCTGCTGTGTTGCAATATTTTCAGGGACGGCTTATTTTTGGGAGAGGTTTTATTTTAGAGCATTTGCTCAAAAGTCTGATTGAGCTTATTATCTGGGGAGGTCTTATTTTCAGGGAAACAGGGTACTTACTTGCCTGTTTCTTATTCTAGTCATAAGAGAAATTAATTCCTGAGAAAGGAATTCAGACTTGTACACATCATGCACACAGTGGCCATTTTACAGGATAAATTAAAACCATCCTTGAGAGTCAGAAATGCCCCAAACCAGTTGGATAATATTAGTTTCAACCAATAATTTAAACTTGGTTAAATTATAGCTGAATAAATGACCTGAGCTAGAAAGCCCTGAAACACAGTTTGATGCGATAATAATGTTTTCCTAAATGTAGGCTGCCTTGCCATCACCTGAAGATAAAATTTCTCACACTAGTTTAAGCTAGCCTTCTGAAAGTCATGCCCTTTATCTTCTCCTAAAGCAGTGTTTCTCAACCTAGGCAACTTGAAGATGTCTGGACTTCAACTCCCAGAATTCCCCAGCCAGCATTCGCTGGCTGGGGAATTCTAGGAGTTGACGTCCGGACATCTTCAAGTTGCCAAGGTTGAGAAACACTGTCCTAAAGATTTGTTGGTTCTTTACTACTTTATACCTACTACATTCCCTAATAATGCCCCTTTTTAACTATTCTCTTATGATGTGCCTAGCTAATAACTTTGGTTCCTAATTAAATTCCTAACTAGATCCCTGACGTGCCTAGCTGACAATTTTGACATACTAAAGATAGAGGAAGGAACTAGAGGGACAGCCATACTGGACTTAATTCTTACTAATAGGGATAAGATGATTGAGGGAGTAGCAGTTTTAGAAACTTTAGGGGAGAATGACTATTTCACAATCATGCAAATTAAGTCAGACTAATGTTTTAGACCATGGGTCTCCAACCTCTGGGTCCAAGTGGGCCACAGAAGTGATGGCCAAGTATGTGTGTGCATTCCCACTTGTATGAGCAGCAGGTAAGCATGCACGTGTACTCCATTTGCATGAATAGCAGGCGAGATACCCGCTGCTTTCACAAATGGAGCTGTGCATGCACTTGCCAGCTGCTCGCATGGAACCATCCCTTTTACCCTTCCACTGATCTGCAAAGCTGAAAGTTTAGAGAATTCTGTTTTAGACATTAAGAGAGCTGACTTCAACAAGCTAAGAAAACATTAGGAAGGATTTCATGGATGGGTGTCCTAAAAGGAAAAACATTTCAAGATGCTTACGAAATCCTGAAAAATGAGATAATGAAGATCCCAAGCAAAAACTATACCACAGAGAAAGACATCATAGTGTCTATCTCTGTGGTAGAAGGAAACCAGCAGTATCAGGCTTGGAAGCATAGTTGTATAGGGCCTCAAGTCTGCCACATATTCAAACATATTTTTCTGTGGGAAACTGGGAGGGGGGATTGTACAGAGCATGGGTGATGTGTAGCGCAGGAGCTGAGGTGGCGCAGTGGTTAAATGCAGCACTGCAGGCTACTTCAGCTGACTGCAGTTCTGCAGTTCGGCTGTTCAAATCTCACCGG